TCACCTGATGGAAAGTGGTAAGTGTCGCCTATAGACATGAGCCCATGGGCATAACAGAGTATACTGTTTCGCCCATAATACCTAGAGGTAGACAAAGGTGCCCAAGAAAACGACTTTTGCACAAAGTCTCCCTCTGGTAAAATAAAAATGCTTAAAAATGTGATACACCAAATCTTTTTTTTTTTTTTTCATAGATAAACGAGTGCACAAAGATACGTACAATATGAATGTGACCAGCGAAGAATAAACAAATCCCACTTGAGACGTAATCACGATTTGAAATAAGAAATTGAAAAAACCACTTTTATATTGTATTTTCTGTATTCACTTTCTGTTATCTTTAAACACAGAATCAACAGGAATGTTGAATTCATTTACATTATTATTTATCGAGTGTTGTTTTAAACTTCTAACTTTGAGCAATTATTCGAACGTAGTCTAATTTGTGTGCTGTAGTTAGGGTAATTGATAATTCTACCTTAACGTGAAGTTGTAACTTCGTAAATATCATAAATATTACTAACCGTATCCTGCAACTTTACTCACAAAGTATAAGTATGTTAGGTACATTGGAAATTAAAGGATTGTTTTTATTGCTAGCAATATAGGAACTCTGTCAGATCGACCACCTAATTAATTAATAATTCCTAGTGAATCAGTCACGATAGACTAACTGACCTGTATTCCTTTTCATCTATCATTATTCACTGGTGCCTCACCAGCATATACTGATGTACAAACGGTTTTTTTAATTGGTAGAAAATGTAATAGTAACAGTAAGCCCGCCTGCGCTAACGGGATACGCTGAGGGGAAAGGGATTGTTAGCAATGGAGTTCAACACTGCTAGCAATATGCCCTATCAGGTCAACCTCCACGTGGTTCTCCCTAGAAACCATCATGAACAATTCTTGTTAAATTCGTCACGATGGGCTAACTGACCTGCTTCATCCTCGTCTATCATCCCTCACTGGTACCCCGCCGGTATATACCAATAGCGCGAGTGGGGTTACCATTCCATTATCACCCATTGTCACGGGATACGCTGGCTGGGCACCAGTGAAGGGTGATTGATAAGGATGAAAACACGCCAGTTAGCCCATCATGATAAATTCATCAGGAATTAATCATGATATGATCATGATGTTTCCAGGGGGAACCGCGGGGAGGTCGACCTGGTTGGGTATATTGCTAGCAATTGGATTCTCAATCTCCATTACTAACAATCACTTTCCCCCCTACAAACGGGGTTACCATCTATTATCATTAGCAGGTCTCCAATGAGAGAGGTTAGGTAAGTATGAATTCAGGTCAGTTGATCCATCGTTATGAGTTCAAGAATAATTAACAACGATGGTTTCCAGGAAGAACCGCGTGGAGTTCGAGCTCATAGGGTATTTTTTTTAATTTACGTTTAATTTGGGATTTTTGTTTTTTAACATGTCAACCCCATAAAATCTAAACAAGTTATCTACTATTATAATTATGACTAAACAATACTACTTACTAATTCACTTAAGTACCAAGCAATTTTGGTAGTAGGAGCATGCATTATGCTCTGAACAATCCCCACATCAAATTTATTAATATTAAATGTTTTTAAACATGTTTCCCTTTCCCTTCGGTTCCTATCAATAGATGCTGCACATCTTCAACTTTTCCACAGACAATGCAATTTGGTGAATTTTCTTTTTTCATTAAAAATGCAAACTTTCTTGATGGATAGTGACCAGATCTGATTCTTAAAATTAACTTAATTTTATTTCTATTTAATTTACTATCTAAAAACCAGGGTATCAGAAGAGACCATAGGGTATATTGTTAGCAATGATATTACTAGTCCACATTACTAGCAATTTTTTGTCCCCCAGAAAGGTTACATTATTGTGGTTACGTCCAAAGTAATCGAACAACCCTCCAGCTAATTACAGATTCACTCTTATTCACAAGTATTATCGAGCTTCTATACACCCTGAAGTTTGTCGAGTAAATTTAAACATAGTAAGCTAGTATAACTATAATACAATACAGTAAATAATACTCAATCACTCGCTAGCTTCAAAACTTCTATTAATTCCTATTATCTCTCTCTTTAAGTACTATTTTCCCGTATCTTTTTTCATCTTCCACTTTCATTTATCTTCTGTTGTGTGTGTGCTATTAAGTATACGTATGTTTATGTATATATTAGTTTATATACCATATATATATATATATATATATATATATATATATATATATATATATATATATATATATATATAGTAATGCGCCACCTATCTCCATACTCACTCTACTCAAAGGTTGTCTGGAAAAGATTGCTAAGTGATAAGACCGCCTTTTGTATCACTTCTCATTAAAATTTATTATTTTATAAATGGTGCAATAAAGTATAAAATAAATAAATAATAACCAAACAGTACTCGGTGCAATGATCGGTATACAAGTTAAACATTCTAGAAACAAGAAAGAAATAATATGGTCACAGAACATTGTTCTAAAGGCAAACTGAAATCAAATTAACTGAACAGTCAATAGTCGGTGAGGTATTTGATTAAAACTTGTTCAGAATACTCCAACTAATAAAGTTTGAAACGTGTAATTAGGAACTTGCCTCTTCTGTGACATTTAACCAAATTAATTTTACCTGTATAAAAACATCTGATATCCTATTATGAACCTTAACACTCAGGAATTAAAATCTTACAATAATTAATTATAGGAAAAGAGAAGAGCAATATTATTTATAATGAATACGATAATTATTGTCGCTTCTGACAATGTCAATTACCAAAAAACAAGTCAAACGTGAGCCGCGTAACTCAGGAAAGTGTTCTGTATATTTGTAATTCCTTTAAAACATTTAATTTATAATTTTTTATTTAATTTATGTATTTTTTACATGTGCTTGTATTTACATGAATGACTCAAGCACATTATGTGCACCATAATGTAATTGGATTGTGACCTAGTTGTATCACAAATGTAACTACTATTTAAGTTTTTTGTGGTTATGATCTGTTTTATGTGTCTAATAAATAAATAAATTTATAAACCATTGATTTATAATGGAATAGGTAAGAATGATATGCTGCCATTTCCTATAATCAGCAGAATATCAAAATAATATAATAAAAAATATATATAATAGAAAATGTAATTAAAGGGACATAATATAACGTATAGAGCCAGCAAAAATTTAGGGGCGAAAAGGGGGGGGGGGGGGGGAAGTACGGGTGGGCTCGTCACGATGGGCTAACAGAACTGCTTCATCCTTACCTATCATTTCTCACTGGTGCTCCGCCAGTGTATACCGATAGCGCGGGCGGGGTTACCATTCCATTCCCTTTCCCCCTAATATATATGGAGAAACACAACATCATAAGCAGTATTGCTATGATATGATAGTTTGTATAATTTTCTATAAAATCTTCTATAGTTTATAAACATATTAACATTCTATGAACCAGAAATAGCCTACGAAGCTATATAAAATAATTTTGTCGCCCTCTCAAAGATTAATAATGCCTCCATCATATTGATTCGCCGTTTATTACACATTTGCGAGATGAACTCAGATGATCGGCTGCGTAGACAATATGAGACACAATTTCATAATCATGCGACGTGACTGTACCGACAATTGGTAATTTAGATATTAATAAAACTGCTCTATAATCAATATCTATCATCACCGCAATTCATCATTTTCATTCGTCATTCATCACTACTGTACTAACACTTTGGACATTTCGAAAAAAAATGCGAGTTTTATAATAAACTAGCAGCCCGTCCCGGTTTCGCACGAGTGGACATTTTTACAACGTTTTGAAAAGTGATTATTGTGCCATAATGATAATAGTTGGCCACATAGTATCGCGAAGTTTTTTGTAGTTATTGATATTTTCTTCAATATTGTAGAACATACTTTTGTTCTACCACCAATAGTTTCCGCAGCGCACGCGACAAAAGATATTTTATAGCATTTTTTTATACCTTGAGTTACGTTACTAAAGTTTTAGTAAGTTAGCCTATGTTACTCAGGCTGAATGTTGCTTTCTAATGGTGAAAGAATTTTTGAAATCAGCAAAGTAGTTTTTGAGTTTATAAATTACAAACATACATACACACCAAAATACAAATCTTTCCTCTTATAATATTAGTGTACAAACATTTGTAAACATAAAAGTTTGAAAGTATGTAATCAATAATATTTAACACACCACCTAAATAGTTTAGGTATTTCATATATTTCCTAGGTACTTTATGTAGAATTATATAGATGGCTGGTAACATATACGTACACTCACATTTACCGAAAATGTTATAATTAGATACATCGTTATTTACCCCGCGCTACAACAACGTCGAGAAATGAAGCACAGAGCTAGCTGTATTACATTTCGCCCGCGGTAGAGTTTCATATCAGACCTAATATTGTGTTTTCTTTATACACAATCCCGTGTTACGGCGATTGTAATAAAACTCCGGATCGGTTAGAGATGTTGTGATAATAAACTGAAATTGCTCGAGTATGAGATAAGGAATGGTTGTTTAGAAGTTTTGAACAGTTTTCAAAATCCACATGTATTTTCTCCGGTATCATGTTTACTCTTCTTGTATTCGTATAGCCTCTGGCAGTAGCCAGTTGGTGAGTTATCTTTATTTGATACGTGAAATAATATACATGTATATTTAATGCGTACGTACCGTGTAGCTCCGACATAGAATGGACCACCCCTTCCTTTCCCGTGGGTGTCGTAAAAGGCGACTGAGAGAATTTAATGGTCGAGAGATGGGCAGCAGCGTCCCTCTTAAAACATCACCTAACTATGGTTACCAATCCATCTGCCAAGCGTGGCAACTACTGGTAACCCCTCCTTTATGTAGGAGGCCTATGTTCAGCAGCGTTAATTGTCTAACGGCTGATATGATGATGAATGCATATATGTGCGTGAATGTAAAGATTATTATTGTAAATAAAACAATTATTGAATTTTATTTAGTCATTAATTTATTTCCTGTCCTCACATCTAGTAATTACATAACAAATACAATATTCTTAAAGAAGAAAACATTTTCTTGTTATTTCTAAATTACATTATATAAACTTAAAATATAACTACATACAATAAATACAATTCAATATGTGTATTTTTTTTTTATAAATATATACTATTAATTACACGAAAATCCCTTAAGACTAGCCAGGAAATTATTATGAAATTTATATACGATTACGTAAGAAGTTTCATTAATAATTACATTTTACGTAAGAAGATTCAATAAGAATTACACTTCGTTTAAGAAGATTCATTAATTAAATTGCGTGTAAGAAGAAGATTGTGTAATAATTACATTTAAATGAATATGTTTCAAGCAAGTTTTTTTGTGTATTTTCCTTCACTTGAGGATAGTTTATCACAGCTATTAAAGTTAATTATGTACAAAGACATATTTTCTTAAGCTATGATTCGTTATTAGTAAAATTATAAGATATAGGGCACACAATGTTAATAAAAACACTATATTTTGGTGTAAAGCTAGTGTTAAAACTAGTGGCAAACGTTTTTAAAATATATTTACATTTAATTATTGGTTTGATTACAATTGCATTTATGAGTAGATTATAAATAATCATTATATCCAATTTATTTTACAAAATATTTGAAAATTACAGTTTTTACAAAATGCATTTTTATATTATAGCAATTAACTACCTATTTACGTATTACTCAATTTTCTATTAAATAAATATAAAACGGAAAGAACTTTTTTATTTAAATTAAAATTAATTAAAATTGTGTAATTTATTGCAATTGCAAACTTGATTAAATAAGTCTTAATAATATCTATTTTGTCCGTTCTATATCTAGATAATAGAGTTACCATGGCCATAGATATAATTACTTCCTTATAGTTTCAATTTTCCGTCAATTTTATTAATATATATATTATAATTTAAAGCTTTCTACGCTGAAATTATATATTGTATGAAAATTTTAATATCGATTAATTTGCAAGTTTTATTGTAATTACAAGTAATATAAATGCAGTCAAAATATATGAAGTTTTATATATGTTATCAATCTAATATTATAGTAATATTCCAATTATACAATGTAAATTATAATATATAAATTTTTTTCGAGCGCAGTTTACAAGTATATGAAAAATTATTTCAAGATTTTAATTAAAAAATAATATTATCCTGGGAAAAGAAATATTACTGCTGGGTTTCTATCTGATAAATTAAATTTTAGTAGTTACTATTATCGTTATTTTATACGTTTTTCTTATACCTCATTTCTCATTTCTCATTTTCTCATTTTTACCAAAATATCCGATAATATCTAAACTACAAAAAAAAAATATTATTTAGTTCCACATCTACACTGATATATCTGCGAATAACAGTTTCGTATTAACACCTCAAGATTTGTAGCAAATATTGTTATAAATATAATAAATGTAACCTGTCAACTATATAAGTGAGTTAGTTTCTTGTCAGCATGGGGTTTATCATGATATTGGCAAGCGCGTTTCGTCGCTTCCGCCACGTGCCCGCGCCCTGCGCGTGATACTGCAGCTGGCGGTACCACGTGCGAGTACGGGAGTTCTCTTCTGCCTGTAAAATAGAACAAACTTTTGTATATTTTGTGTAATTAAAAAATAATCTGTCCAATAGTAAAGTTTTTTATTGTTAGGAAGACAGGAAAGGTAAAGATCCATCTGATACGAAGAGGTAACGTCACCCATGAACCCTTGCAGCATAAGACAAAACGCTTGTCTATTGATGGCCTTTTAAAGATTTGTTAAATATATGATAATAAGTCCGATTTCACTATTTATAAATAATGGATCTGATGATGAAGAAAAAATACTACGTGCTTACACTCTTTTTGTCTCCTAAACATCGCAGGAAGCATTTATAAAGAAAATCTTGAAAAAAAATTAGGACCACCTAGCCAACTTGGTAATGCTTTAATATCCTCTTACAAGAGAGAAGGAGTTAGGGGCTTAGATTTAATTTCCATTATTTTACTTCTTTTTCTCTTAAGACTTACCTTAAAAATATAAGAATCCTTGGTCGTTATTTCATGCACTTCGAAGAAGTGTTCAGGTTCATGATCTGCTGCAACCACACACCGGTCTAGGAATAATGGCTCCCTCTGCAACGTGTATCGACCCGCCTTCTCCCTCACCAGTAAGAGAGCCGCCTCTCTTACTCCACTGCGCGCAAACAACGCATCTCCCTCTCTCTCTCTAGCCTCACGGTCTCTAGCTTCTCGGATTTCTCGTATCTCGTTCGTTTTGTGGGCGGTCGTTGGCTGGGAAAGTAAACAAATTACCAATCATTAAAAAACTATCTCTAGTTATTAAAAAAGGATTTTTAAATATTTCTACTAAAAGGAAAAACCAGACATTACACGTGCAAAGTCGCTGGCGAAAGCTACTATACTCGTAATATAAAGTTGTAAAACTATAATATAAATTGCTACTATAATATTAAATATCAATCCATAGTACTTGCAATAAATTTAGTAGAAGCAAATTTTGCACTAATGCACTTATATTGGTGTTTCTGCTACCAGCCAGAATGCAAAAAAAAATTATCATATTAGCATTATATAATATATATTGAATATTGATTTATTTGTTCATGAAATTAAAACTAATATAATAGTAAGTACTTAAATAAGATTACCTTTTAGACGTACAACAGTAAAAATTCGAGTTCATAACCCAATAACTTCTCATAAAACAACTACCTATTTTCACAGTAATATGTATATTTCTTTATTTAAAGATAAATTATAAATTGAAACATTTTCAAGCGGGAGGGATAATAATTATTGGAATGTAATTTAAATATTTTATTAATATTTCCATATAAAATTGCAATTATGTAATAAACTGTCAATTGTCTAATTTAAGACGATTAGTTGATTTGTTTAAGCATAATGTGGAAACAAACAAACAAACGAACTCACTTTTACATACCACATTAATAAAGATTATATATATATATATATATATATATATAAGAGCCAATTTTGAATTACTAGACTTGTATCAATTTCTTTTACTAGGTTTGAACGCAAAACAAAGTCGGATGTTACTCTTAGAGATAACAATAGAGAATAAAAACATACAAATATGTTATTATCTATAATATACAGATACAATATAACAAACATACCTTTCCGTTAGTTACCAAAAGGGCGTTGATTGGCGTCAGCTTGATTGTGCGCCCTTTTCTCCAGTTGTTGTCGTTTGGCTGGGTGAACAGCAGCTTGCCTTCCATTGCGAACCTTGTTGGTAACAAAATAAGATACAATTCACAATGTTATTCCGTTTGTGAGGTTAGCTGTTTGTGGTGTCAAGAATTTCTAAGCCGATTATTGTTTACGACGACTGTTCTATGTACCCTCCGAAGCACGTAGCGAGTGACAATCATTTATGATCCAAATTTAAATATGAGAAATTCAATGTTTGCTGATTTTCGAATTCAGTATTCTGGATTTGCATTTACGCATTTTTCGACTAAGCTATCTCTACTAATATCATCACTAATTGTCCATTTGAATCATTAATTGTGCACTAGCATTCATACGACTCTCTTATGAATTACATTAAGATTCTGAACCATCTAAATCAGCTATCTCCCTACATTTGAAATTTGTTCGCCTAGAGAGAAGTCCTCCGATATCGAGTTTGCCTATAAAAGGACATCTAAATTGACGTTTTTGAGTATTGTAACAAGGATTATAAAACTTGATAATTTTCTTAATTTTTTTTACCATTTTGAAGTATTCATAGTCTAAAAGTATAATTTTAATTATGCATATAGTTAAAGTAGCTTCCAAATGTTATTGTAATAAGACTACTAAAAATGACTATGAGATGTTGTCTTGTGCTATGATGTATTTTAATTTTAATTCATACAAGGCAAATCTCAGGAAGCATTATTGCGTGTGACGTCACATTTCATCTCTCGCATCCCAGTTGTGTGATGAATAAAATTGCGGAATTGTAATAAAACGAAATTACTCTTCTTGTCATCTTTACACCATTTTTGTTATTATTAAATCTATTTATCTATTACCGCAGCCTACTCGTTATGGGATAGGTAGAGAGAACCGAATGTCTAAAGCCTATATTCTTGTCCCTATCGATACATACAACTCTTGGTTCCTGCATTCATGAATCATTTTATTTTTGCACGCCGGACACCTTTGACTCCTCCCTCAAATAGAACACGATATATCAAATCATAATAAATAGTCTAACTTTCTACTGTAAGCATAGGCTGTTTGGATTTTATTGATTAAGACAATAACTCAATAATAGACTCACGTAAATAAACGGATTACAATTTATCTACTTCAGAATAAAATTGTAGGCATATTCAAAATATGTTCATGCATGTATTCTCTGATGGGAAGTCATAGACAGTGATTGGTTATCATTTTAGTGAATACAGTAATAAAAAAGACAGCATTTCGTCGACCATATCCAGATTTGCAAAGAACGAGTACACCGCTATCACAAGTATTTTTAATGATATCATTCGAAATTTAAAATAATTTATAAAGTTTTTGGTAACGTAATATTCGGAGTCTATTTTTAACTATTTATTTTCTTTTACATTTAGGATTTATCTAATTTTATATCTTGCAAAAACCTTTCCAATAATCCACCGAGTCACCCATAAAGCTCTTTAATCTAGAAAGGCTTAAAGCGAACAACGGTTTTATCGTCTAATAACATATTTTTAAACAAACATTAGAGACAACCGTCTTCAAAGGTTATTTCCTTTTTACACGTATAATTACTTGTATTTGTGTAGCAGGAGCAATAAAGAGCCCCAGGGAATAGCTCTTGATGCCGTTACTGGTACTAAAGCGACGATTATCAGGTTTATGGCACGAGTGATAGGAGCTGGCGAGCTTGATTGCATTTGCCCAATATAATAATTTGCAGTACTTTATGTGGATGATATAATTTCAAATAAAATTTATGATGAATAATAACTATAGTGAGTCATACTGCATTATAATAATGGCTCCTATTGAGTTCGAAACAAGTCGAGCATCCCCGAATTCAAAACGTGTGTAAAGCCAGTCCGTCTGATAGCAAACGATTACTGTAGCCTTTGAAACCCTTTGACCCTGAAGAAACCTTAATATATCTTTTTTAACCCTATACTGTAGTCTCCAGGGAAACCCTCGGCAGGGAGCTTATTCCACAACCTGAGCGTTCGCGAGAGAAAATTTCTTTGAAACAGTACTGTACGTGACCATTTAGATTCAAGCGTGTGCAGATAAATTCTCTGTCAATAGCTACTGTATTCACATTTCATATAGGTTACTCTTAAAATGTAAACTATTACATCAATGTCAATTTTTAAATCACAAAATGCAGTGTTTGACTTTTAAGATTTTATTATAAGACAGATTACCTTTCCATATAACTAGCTATGCTCACAACTTTATTCGCATGATCAGAATACAAAATATCTACCTATCTCCTCCACCATACCAAATATTATGAGTAATTCAAATCTTATATTGCTTGGTTAAGCTATTGAGATACCAAACATTTACATTTATAAGGATAATTATTTAAAACGTATTAACAGTTTTTGACTCGGAACATAAGAAAACCTGCGACCCGCAATGGTTCTAGTAATGGGGTCATTTGTCCCATCCACAGGGACTGTGCCACGATTATTCGACAAACATCTTGAATTATCAAGGGCTAAAAATTTATTTTAAATTACATGTATCACATTACACATTTATTTATGCAATAATCTGTTAAGCACATTATAATAAAGAAATTACATTTAAATAATCCCAAAAAATATTACACTATTTATTTATTTTTTGATATGAAAATGAAATAAATAAAGTTAATACTATAGTAGTATATAGTATACAACAATGATGCATAAATCAGACAAAACTTGTCAATCCACGGTCCGCGGATTCTAAAATCGAGTTCCAGGACAAACCTCTAAATTAGTTCTGGGTGGTCTTTAATTACTGGGTACAGATAATATGGATAATGAATTTACTGGGTACAGAGGAATAACACCTAAGTCCTCAGTAATGGCAATGCATGGGGGGTATCATGGGCGAAACAGTATACTCTGCTATGTCCATGGTACTGCTCATGTCTATAGGCAACGGTTACCACTATCCATTAGGTGGGCCGTCAGCTTATTTGCCATTCTAAGTTGTATAAAAAAAATTAAACTATCGATTTAGATTTTAGATACTGGTTTAGTGAATGGGTTTTCAAAATGATATCGTCATACCTGGCGTCATCATGATTCCAATCCAAGACGTCGACGGCCATTTTCCTCAGCCTTATGTCAGCGACGTGGAGATCATGAGCCGTTCGCCTAGCAGCCGCCAGGCGGCGCCACAGCGGCACATCTCTAGCTGCGGCAGCGGCCGCCGCGGCAGCAGAGTTGATCTCCTCAAGTCTGGACTCGACGCAGCGCTGTGCAGCACGGACATCTTCCCGCTCAGTAGCACAGGCGGCGGTCGCCCGATACAGCCGCGAGAGAAGGAGGGGATATTTTGTCACGCGTTGTACTGGCACCTGAAGTCAAGATTGGGACTCGTATTAAACAAATTTGGCTTGAACAAGTTGTATACATATATATATATATATATATATATATATATATATATATATATATATATATATATATATATATATATATATATATATATATATATATATATATATATATATATATATTGAAGTTCATTTATAATTTTGAAAAATTAGGAACTACGGGGATTACCCCGTATATAACACAATGGCAATATATGAGGGGTATAATCTATAATACCCCTCACATATTCCCATTGTACTGGAAGTTATGTATGTAATGTTCATATATGCTCATATTTTTTTTTTAATTCAATAATTGTATGAAAGTTTACAATGATATTTTTCGCTCAATTACTGTACTGTAATTTACGGTATATAAGCTGGTGATAACACATAGGATTCTTTTAATCAAAATTCACAATAAAGCCATAAGTCATTAAAAAGTATCTAGTAACATACCATGAGAAATGAGTTTAGATTCATTCGCCTCAAGACCGTGTTTTCCATCTGAGAGACGCGTAAGAATATCCTCAAAAGTTCCTTCTCCTTCTCGAGACCGGCCAATAGAAGTGCAGCTCCTGCTTGTTTTACACAGTACGATTGGAATGCAGTCAGCATCCCAGAGCATTCTAAGAGAATCTTACCAACGTTCACCGTTAACAGATCCTAGAATACAGAAAATTACATCACTACGATTTATTTAATCAAATTGCAACAGAGTTAACAAAATGTAGATAATGATAAAAAAAAAATAATAATGTAATAGCGGTATGTTCTTTACCTCGTCTCCTTGGTCAACTGCAATTTCTAGGCCATCTCTTAATTTTTCAGATAACACTTGATTATTTTCAATTAGCTCTTCTACGTTCAAGAAGATTGCACTTAATTGCTCTTGAGTAAGAAGGCCAGCTACCAGCATAGGTTTGTAAAACTCTTCAAGTATTATTTGTAAATCTCTACCATATTTTTCTTCAGTTTCTACTATTTCCGTAATGATTTCTTTCCTTTCTGCTCTTTTCTTAGCACATTTCCGGCATACTAGAGGAGCGTAAATAGTACCTAAAACATTTTTAAAACAACTAAGATTTTTTTTCAAATTTCCAACTGACATTAGGGTCTCAAATGAACGAAATAAATAAAAATAAAAAATGAATAAATGATTGATCCCATATAAAATCGACTTAAAAATTAGGACAAAACTTTAATTTAAAAACTGAACTACTAAACCGATTTTGATAAAATTTCTTTAGGATCAATCTGTAAATATATTCTTTTAGATAAAACAAAAATAATTTTCTAAATTGGTTTAAGACTAACGAAGCTATAAGTTATCAAAAATAAAAAATACAACTGTAGTAAATTAAAAAAAGTCTTTTATAATTTGATATATAAAAATATAGGTTTAAGGTTAAAAAAATATTAAGCGATTTACCTTGTTCTGTTATTTGTGTTTCAACTGCACTATCACAATCTTCACACAGATGAATAGGGGTATCTTTATCACTTAATGTATTACAAGGCGAAGTTTTCCCTTGTAATCTACTTCGTGAAGATTTACTAGTTTCTGAACCGACACCAGAATCATTTCGCTCAATTTCAGCAGATGTTTTCTTACATACAATAGCTTTTTCTAATGTCTCGTGATTAATTATAAGGGAATTGTCTTCACTTGAATCAGACGCGTTTGATAACTGACTTGTGTTGCTACTAAGATGTGTACTAATGTCAGTAGTACTGCTTTTTTCTTTTGGTGTATTTAACATACTGGATGAATCATTTCCATTAACATAACTAGTAATATAAGTTTCTTCATCATCAATTCCTCTTTCTTTGGCATCCACTAAATATGATAAAATATCATATTTGGAGGCACCCTCAAATATTGAACGTGAACCACTACGTTTCTCGTCATCTAATAATAATAAGGAATTTGGTGGAGGGTTTGATGGCAAAGGCGGTGGCATATCTCCTATCTCTTCATATATAGGATCACTATTAAGACGAATAGATTCGTAATGATGATCATCGTCAGTATTATTTGCAATTTCGATTTCACATAGTGCAGCGTCTACCAACATCTGGTAGAACTTCGATCTCGTAGAATTCGTATCATCCTCAGTTGATAATTCGCTTGCTGATGCATTGTAACAATCAGACAATGGTTCAAGATCTGAAAATACTCCTATAGCCCCACTCTCGTACTCCATACTTTCATAGGGAGCAGAGCAGCCATTTTCATCATGTTCTGGACTATTATTAGTAGATATTTGATCTTTATGATCCTTTTCGTTGTTTTCTTTATATATTTCTTTCTTTGGTGTATTTTCTGGCATTTTATCGGTGGTTTTATTCATTTCTGTTTTCAAGTTCTTTAACGAATTTTCTATAAGCTTTTCGATTGTATTATTGGTGGTATCATCAGCACCTTCTTGATTTTTAGTTTCTTGAAGTTTTATTAAAGAATTTTCAATTAATTTCTTAACCAAATCTGAATCTAAGCCTTCTGCTAAGTGGCCGAAAAAAGGATCATCAAATAGTTTAGTTACAAAATTATTATTTTCTGATTTTGTGTTTTCTTTACTATCAGTTGTACATTCTGAATTTTTATCTTTTTTGCCACATACATGAGGGATTAAATTAAGTCTTACAGCTTCTACAGGATCACATAGTATTGTTGATAAGTCTGATTTATTGCTTGTTTTATTGTCCGTATTACTCTCATGTTGAGTATAATATTCTTCATAAGTACTGCTGTCTTCTTTGTGTTCAGCTTTTTCTGATAATACAGAACCTATATATATTTGACTTTTGGACTTTTTAACTGCATTTTCTGGAGATCCTACACTTATAGTAACAGTTGTACCAGTTTGATATGTATTACATGCATTTCCAAAGTCATCATTAACAACAACAGATGATAAATAAATAGGAGTGTCGCTGCTGACATTCATTGTTGAATAACATTCGTTGCCGTTTATTTGTATAGATGTTTTTCTAGGTTCATTTTCCAAAAATCTCATCGTTTGGGAAGTTGCTTTTGTCTCTTCAGCTTCATCGGAATCGAACTGTTTCACTCGTAAAACAGTTTTCTGTTCATAATCATTAGCATCAGACCATTCATCACTAGTAGAACTTGATGAATTATTTCGAACAAAACGAGTTTTGACATAATTGTGTTTCTTTGTTTTTGATCGTTCTTTAGCCTTCAATCTTGGTGGAGGTTCTGGAGATTCTAAAATGCCACGTCGCAAGTCGTGCAAGATATTTCGTGTTATATCACTGCTATCACTTAAATTACCTGATTCAATATTATTCTTAGATAATGGTATAGTATTATCATCAATATGGGTATATTCTCCTGGTTTAACTGGTTCTGGGTTGGTTTGTTCTTGATTACTTTCAGTTTCATTACCAAATGTAAAAAATACTTGACTTGTATGGCCATGCTTGTTCTTTGGCCGTAAAGCCATCGTGTCTAAGAATTTCGGAGGACAAATTGATACAGTTGAAGTTAAGCGTTCGGATTCTGAGCGACGTAACACTGGTACCTTCGGTAATTCGTTATCTGGAAAATAAAATAATTATTATTATTATAAATACCGCGTGGCCCTGACATATAATGGGCCACACTTTTCTTAACCGTAGGTGTCGTAAGAGGCAACTAACAGAACTTAATGCTCTAGAGATGGTAGCAGCGTAAAATGTCACTAAAAACCTAGTTGCGATTACCAATCCACTTGTCAAGTCAAACCTATGTTCAGCAGTGGGCAGTTAACGGCTGATACGATGATGATTTTTAATATATCTTCAATAGACCCTTTATCCATGGAAGATAAGTATATATTTTTTTTTATTTTTTAATTAAATCTGTCATCATGTGGTCTATTAGGTCACATTTTAGCTATGCTTTGGAAATATTGTACACTTATAAAAATACTGTGTTTTGGGATGATACAATAATATACTAAGTATCATTCTGAATTACGCTGTTTATTATATTTCTATTTAATTTGATATATCGAACAAAAATAGCAATATCATTAAATAAGCATCAAAGAAATTTATAACAGATTTGGCGTGATGATAGATAAATAGACACATTCATATTTTATTTATAATATTAGAAGATATCCTACTAATATTATAAATGTGAAATTGTGTAAAGATGTTTGAATGTTTATATTTAGGAATAACAATCAATCATGATTGACTAATTATATTTAAACGACTGAACAGATTTGAATGAAATTTGGAACATAAGTACATTATATCATAATGTAAAATATATATACTTTATAAATAATGCATGTGCGCAAAACCGCATGGCTATGTGAAACAGTAATAAATAAATTTAAAGATATTTATTGTAAGTGCATACCTGTTACATTTGCTATAGAAGTATAATCGAGATTATTTTTCACTTCCGTAAGTTGAACATTGTCATCTATAGACGATGAGTACGTACTATTATTCACTTGTACATCTTCATATAGTCCAGTATCATTCTTAAAATCTTGATTAGTTAATTTCAATTCATTAGAAGCCTCTGCTTGGGACAAGCTATGACTCACTACATCTCCTTCTGCTACTACGTCTTCTGTATCTATATTACCATCTCCAGAGATTTCTCTAACAATATTTTGTTCAAGATTTAATTCAGCTGTGTATATAATTTTAGTTTCATCATTTTCTACTAAAAATTGTACTCGCTTGCGTTGCAATATATTTTGTGAAGAAATCTTATCTTTGGGTTTAGGTAAATAAAATTGAGAAGTATTTATGCGTGTAGTCTCAAACGAATCATCAGAAATGTCAGCTTTTGGTGATGAATCATTCAATCCGTAACATCTTGGTTTTTTCAAAATTGACTTTATGGTATCTGTATTATGATTTTTGTATTTATATATATAGTTACGCGAGCTCTCTGTATTCGTTTTTCTATTAAAAGATCTTTCAGGTAATCGTTGATTATCACTTTCACTGTCATCATCTGTCTTAATATTTCTGACTCTTCTTGGTGGACGTTTTGGAGAGGCACTTTTTTGTTTCGTGCGATTTGAAGTTGCTATACTTAATATTTTTTTACCCGTACTCTTACTTAATGACAGAGACTTTTTGCTTTCATTTTTTATATTTGGTAGTGTTAAAGTAGAAGAAGCTTCTTGTGACTTTGTTTCATACTTTTTGAGATCATAATTTACTGGATCATACACTGCAGCTTCTTCTACTAATGTTTTACCTCCATCAGCAATACGAATTCTTTGTCCACTTATAGCTTTAACATTAGTGTCAGTTCTTGATTTGTTTAGTAGTCTATTATTTTTTATAGACTCTTGAAATATGTCACCATACTCATCATCAAATTCAATTTCTACCATTGACTTTGATGGGCCATTTGACTTAACTAAATCATAAGGATTAATGTCACATGACAGAATTGACTTTTTAGTATCATTAGATGTTGTTTCTTCTTCAACCCAAATTTCATTGACACGACTAACTGATTTACTTCTACTTTTTCTGATAGACTCTGGGCTTGGTCTTTTTGATTTCATACGACAAGGACTGATACTTTTTGCTCTAGATCGTGTCGTTGCAAATTGACTTCCAATACGAGCTTCATGAGGCGGTGCTAATCTACTTCTCCGCATTAAATCATACGGATCGGCCTCTCCATTTGTTTTTAAAATGGTAGGTCTTGATTTAGTTCCTTGAACTCTTACTGTCCCCGCTCTAAGAATACCAGCCTCCCGGCTTACTGATGGTGGGCCTCTTACTGTACCTCCTACAAGTAAACGTGGACTTTCTGTGATTGTTAATGGCAAACGAGATCCTTTGCATTTCTTACATATACTGACTTTGGTTGAGCTTGTTTTCTTAGTACCATTTAGATACTCAGGACAGGAACATAATATTACTGCATAGTTATGTGGTTGTGGTTTTTGAGGAGTACTTATTAAGACGGGGCCAGAGACTTCAGGATAAGCTGCGAAGACACTCGGCCTAATAGGTGGGGTCTGAGTCCGAACGGACCCATAGAGCCAAGTCTCAGCATATTTCATTGATTTAGACAATGCTGAACCTCCTGGTCCGCTGATGGTTCCATACATGTAGGGGATTTCTGGAGATTTTTCTGAGGATTTGGTACTGCCAGATGTATTTATTTTTAATTTTGACGACCATTTCTTCTGTCGTGTACTCTCCGGTGTATCATAAATCTGTAACCAAAAAAAAAGTGAATCAATTATTTAGTACTTATTATAACTTTTAATATAATTAATATAACCTTTTACAATTATCTAAATCTATACTAATAAAATTATTTATCTTGACTGATTTTCAACGCACTTTTAAATTTACTAAGTCAAGGGTGCTGAAATTTGAAATATACGGGGTTTATTTTATAATATAAGAATTTGCTATGGTGGAATTTTTAAAATCAAAAGGGAAACACGACAAGCCAGAAAGCCGCGGACAATAGTCAGTATAATATAACTCTTATTACGGTCAGAAATCATGGTCTTAAATTATTTAAATCATACCTTTTTAATATTTATATAAATAACATAATTCAGATATTTAAGAAACGATAACTATATCCTATTTGGAACTTGGTCATTTCAAAATTGGGAATATTACAAATTTGAATCTAAAAGCATAAACTAAATAAATAATAATAAAGTATTATAAATGTCTATACTACTGCAAGTAACATTTGGTGTGTTTTGCTTTTTAATTTTACATTTAAAAATTATTCGTAAATTTTAGATTTTTTGCCATATTTAAATGTTTTTATCTATTTTCTTTTACCATAACTATTCAGCTCTAAATAAAAACAAATCAAAATACTGGAATTTCTAAAAACAATTTAATTTTATCTATATGTATAAAATAAAACATAGTCAATTTATTATATTGCATATAACACTCTCGCGTTTGTATTCAAACAAGAGTGTAGCAATTAAAACAAACCGTTGTTGTGGTTTATTTACAACACAGTTCTTTTGTTTTTCGTTAGCCTGATTAGCAGAGCCTCCTAAATTTTGAAAGTTGGACAGAATCCAATTAAGCTCAATGAAAAAGTGTGAATGATACCCCTTTTTTCTGCCACAAACAATGTGATAGCAATCTTTGTATTATACTTTGTTTAAAATATATTCTTGTGTTGCTTTATTTACAACTAGCTAAACACGACCCTGCTTCACTGTGTCTCAGTATGATTTGTAATTTTTTTTGTCCAAACATGTTTACAGAATATTTATCAGCTTTGTTACAAAGGAAAACATATAAAAATTAATTTTATTTGTATAAACTAATGACTAAATAATATTTTACACGGATAATACAAATATTTTTCTAATTAAACATTTTCTACTAGGATAGTTTCATTTAAGTCCACCTAACTAGACTAATTTAGTTAAACATATCTATATATGTACGTTGGTATAGTAAAAGGTGACTAAGGGATTTCAATAGTCCAAGGATGGGTAGCAGGGTCCCACTGAAACCATCACCAAAACCTAACTGTTGTTGCCAACTCGCCTGCCAAACGTGGTATAGTTTTAAATAGGTATATATAAATTTTAATATATGTTGAATTACATTGCTTATTTTGTAGTTTACTACAGGGTAGTTATAAGAGAAAAAAAAACATACAGAATTTTTATATCTTTACGATTTTATTGTAGTACTTATAGATATTAAAAAGAAATTAGATGTAATTCTCAAAACACCTCGAAATCAGGTCTCAGTGGTTTTGAAAATTGTTTAAACATCTCAAATACTTCACCGCCTTTGTAGTTGAGACGATGTGGCAAGCAAATTGTAGCCGTCCTATTTATTCAGCAAGGGTAATCAACATACCATGAATACTTGAGAGCTATAATTTTTCGAAGATTAGATGAATTCCTTTGGGTAAATGAGAATAATTTTACATCATCTTGATATCACATTCACTTTTTTTATACTGTTAAAATGAAACGAAGACGGACTTAGACTACTATTTATCCCGGTTAGTGAACATATCTTGGTCATGCGAACAAAGTCGCTTATAAAAGCTAGTATCTCATAATTACGTATATTACTGTGATACTCATGGCACCTCATGCATGCTTCACTCTTATGCATTCAAAATATATTTGGTGTGCACATAGCATTAAATTATTGGGATAAAGTTTAATTAAACATTTGTACACAATTGTTGATATCTTACCTAAAAGGTAATATTAGCTATTTTGTAACATCGAATATAAACTAAACGCTATATCGATTCCAGACTAGTATACAGGACAAACTGAATGCTTCCATTCTAATTACAAACCGGTAGCCGATGGCTTTGTTTCACCATCCGCTGCGTCACAATACCCCCTGGGACACTACCTGGTGCTTTTGATTTGAGGAAATTGTATACATTCCTTTCAGCAAGGTATTATTGAAGGTTTTCGGTTCAGAGTTTAAACAACAATGGATAATCATGGTTAACATATGACTTCTCGGATTATTGTGACTAAAAATAGAATTTATCGTAGATAGAAAACGAATCGTTAGAAGATATAAATAAAATATTCTTTTAATATAATAATTGTAAAAGTTTGTAACCACGGATGGACGGGTGAATAGATATATAGATGGATGTATGTTACTCTTTGGTTTGTACTTTTATGCAAAAACTATTGAACCGATTTGAATGGAATTTCGTACACTGGTAGGTTATATTCTAACTTAGTATATACAAGTCTTCATATACTGATTCACGTGAATGAAGCTAATACATATATGTATTAGCTTCGTTCTAGCTTTTACATATATGTACAAGCTTTCATTAATTTCATATATTTATAAAGATGGCGCTATAGTCTAAAATAACAACCGTGGATTGTGTCATTATAATATAACCTAATAATATATTAGGTTATTTGGTTAGAAGTATTTCAATTTCCCTACCATTAGTATTTGTGCAACCGCCAACATTCAAAGATTGACTACTATTATTGTTACCGGAAGTTCTATAACTTTCCATATTAGCCATCAGTCTCCGACTACAATTTCATCCACGCACGTTTTACAATACACGTTTTACTTCTAAACTGCACCCAAACTGCGAAAGGCTAACATTAGACTCCGAACAGCGATCTATTAATTTGCCTAGAGATGCCTCGTTTAGAGGTGCATTCTACAAAATAAAACTTAGATCAGTAAAATAGTTCTAATATATTTCGACTATTCAATCAGCACAAATTTATTCATGACACATAGGTAGATTGTTAATATAAATATACGTAATGCGCTTATACGTATTTTCTTTACTAGACCTGATTTCACCATGTAATCCTACACACGAGGCGAGGTGATAAAGCAACAATCCCTTAGAATGTGCCCTAGTTAATTCCACCAAGGCGTATTGTTACCCGTCTAAATGGTATCGTTTTGGATATTGCGTGGTTTTCAATTTACTCGAACAATAGCTTACACTGATAGCCTGTTGCGATTTGAATACACGGTTAAGCAAAATTGTACGATAATAGAAACGATGTTATTAAAAACTCGTATTATTATTTATGGAGTCTTAATATTATAAATATAAAAGTTAATGTAAATACACAACGGGAAATATATGAACTTACTATGTTTGCCGTTTTCGACGATTGTCTTCCGGATGATGTCGAAACAATTGTCGGAAACGACAAACATAGTAAGTTTATACATTTCCCGTTGTGCATGTACAACATTGTTAAAATATGAACATAAAAAGTGATGGTTGTAAAAATGTTTTTAATTGTTTTATGAATAAAACAAAGATACTTTTTACCGTAATTTATGAAATGGCAAAGGATTTACAGAAGGACAATATACAGGAACAATACATAAGAAGGACAATTCACTACCATATCCCAGCCTTCAAACCGAAACACAGCCATGCAAACATAACTGCTTCACGGTAGAAACACGAATTAGAGAGAAGTGCCCAAGCAAACGACTTTTATACAAAGTATCCTCTGGTATTAACGCATTATTTTAAAAGTATAATCTATCTGTGAAATTAAATATTATTCCTGAAATAAACATGGATCAAAAACCAACAATTAAGTATCATATAAACGTGCTACATTATTTCTATTTTACCTAAATTTGTTTTTTTTTCATTAAATCCAACCAGGTTTGACTTTTACGATGTTTTATGTAGATAGATGCTACGAGTATATATTGTAGATGAAAAACTCCACACTGACCCATAAATCAACCTTAAAATTTTTCCTTATCTTAACAAGCCATTAACACCCCACTGATGAACATGGGTCCGTACCCATAACAGGAGCATATACCTATAGATAATATAATAATACTATATATATATATATATATATATATATATATATATATTATAATTTTGATAGATAGGTTACATCCTAATTTAATATATAGGATACTTTACATACTGATTCACGTAAGAAAAGCCGCGGGATACAGCTAGTATTAAACAATAATAGTTTGCAATTATAAGAGTAAAAATTTAACAAATAAGTATCGATGCTGATTTAATTCGAAATTCCTTCTTTTCCAATTGTGTATTGCGCCTTATTAGTATCTTAATCATTTCTTAGAAGATTATAAAATTAAATGTAGTAACAGTAAAATTAGTTTCTTAGCTACCTCTTAGCGCCTTAACTGTTTAACCAAATACTATGAAATTTAATAAAACCATATCATATGGGATAAAGAAGGACATATACTACTGTTTATTTCACCGAATGAACACATCCTGGCCACGCGGACGAAGTCGGGGGTAAAAGCTAGTATTCTAATAGATTTAAAACAAAATAATACATATCTACTGTTGGGCGAAGTCATGGCAATCATCTTGTACACTAACGAAGTAATTATGAGTTCCCTTGTCGTACCGAGGATAGCCTCAGTATGCGAAAACTAAAGTGCAACTCATAAGGAAATAGTTCCAAGAGATATGAGGTAGCGAATGCTCAACAACTTGTTAATACTTAGTAGTACGAATACTCTATCTAGCAACGTCTTTATGCATGACATAAATATTAAAATAAAACCATCTCTCTATGAAGACAGTCTCAACTATACATATACATAACACGGAAATAGATCGAGATGTGACACGTCCAATTAGCACAGATGGATATAACGCCGACGAATTTCGGATGTGTATTAAATACTATGAGATTGAGATTATTGTACAGGGATAAAACTTACC